TATATATGTACACATACACACATATAAAAATCTATCTATGTATACATGCACAAACACACAGATGCCAAACAAATGTATACACATTTTAAGAAAGGAAAAACCTGTTTTAAAATTGTAATAACATATACTGATAACATTTGTTATCTTGCATATTGTATCTTGTACACATATCTCTTGTAATTGCAGAAGTCAAATGTGATTTGAGTATTACAATTTTAATACAGCTTTTTCCTTTCGTAAAACGTGTATACATTTTTTGGCACCCTCTGTATTTTATAGATGAGGAGCCTATAAAGAGAAAAGTGCCAAGCGCCTGGGAAAGTGCTAATGTGGCCTCACTTTAAATGTGCTTGAGGATCTCCCCTTTAGACTAAGGAAAGGTACGTGAGGGGGGCACAGGTGGAAGGCTGCAGGAAAAGAAGCGTAAGATAGGGGCAGGAGTGAAGGGCCAACCCTCCCTGATCCTTCAAAGTATAAGCTCTGCTCCTGGCTGCAATTTCTATCGTTTACTCCTCTTTATGCAATTTCTATTCTTTGCTCTACTCCTCTTTACTTCCATTGCTTGGACTCTTGGTAGGGGGTTGTATGATAGGTCCTAAAATAGCACTTCGCTCATGTCCCTTGTTGGGTCAAAAATATAAATATACGACTCAGTAACAACAACAGCAACAAAACAACTCTACTAAAAAAATGGGTGAAGACTTGAATAGACATTTCTTTGAAGATAAACAGATGGCCAATAAGCACATGAAAAAATGTTCAATATAACCAACCTCTAAGGAAACGCAAATCAAAACCACGATGAGATACCACTTCCTTTAGCACAGCTATGATTAAAACTACAGAAAGTAACAAATATTGGCAAGGGTGTGGAGAAACAGGAAGATTTATGCATTGTTAGTGGGAATGAAAAAGAGTACGGCCACTATGGGAAACAGCATGGTGGTTCTTCAAAAAAATTAAACTTAGAATTACAACATGATTCAGTAATTCCACTTCTGAGTATATACCCAAAAGAGCTAAAAGTAGAGACTCTAACAGATGTTTGTATACCTATGTTCATAACATTATTTGTAATAGCCAAAAGGGTGGAAGGCGGGGTTTAGAGGCTCAAGCCCGTAATCCTAGCACTCTGGGACACCAAGGCAGGAGACCAGCCTGAGAAAGAGTGAGACCCTGTCTCTACTAAAAATAGAAAAAATTAGCTGAGTGTTGTGGTGGGCACCTGTAGTCCCAACTACTCAGTAGGCTGAAGCAGGAGGGTCACTTGAACCCAGGAGTTTGAGGTTGCTGTGAGCTGGGCTAATGCCATGGCACTCTAGCCTAGGCGACAGTGAGAATGTCTCAAAAAAAAAAAAAAAGTGGGAAGCAATCAAATGTTCATCAACAGATGAATGGATAAATAAAATGTAGTACACACACACAATGGAATATTATTCAGCCTTTAAAAGGAAAGAAAGTCTGACATGTGCTATAATATGAATAAAACTTGAGGACATCATGCTAAGTGAAATAAGCCAGATATAGGAGGACAAATACTGTATGATTTTGCTTACACAAGACCCCCAGCGTAGTCAAATTCATGGAGAAAGAAGGCAGAATGGTGGTTGTCAGGGTAGAGAGGGCAGGAATGGGGAGTTAGTGTTTAATGGGGGTGAAGTTTCAGTTTGGGAAGATGAAAACGTTCTGGAGATGGATGGTGGTGATGGTAGCATCACAATGTGAATGTACTTAATACAGTCATCCCCTCTTACCTGTGGTTTTGCTTTTCATGGTTTTAGTACCTCCATCAACTACTGTTCAGAAATATTAAATAGAAACTCTAGACATAAGTAATTCGTAAGTTTTAACTTGCACACCATTCTGAGAAGTGTGATGAAATCTTGCTCTGTCCTGTCCAGGAAGTGAATTGTCCCTTTGTCTTCCATGTCCATGCTGTAGATGCTCCCTACCCATTGTCAACTTAGCTGGATCAAGCTGCTAATTGACATAAGATAACACTGGATGGTTCAGGTGACTCTCATTTTAATTTACTATATTGCCCCAACACACAAAAATAGTAATGCTGGCAATTCAGACATATCACAGAGAAGCAGGAAAGTGCTTCCTTTAAGTGATAAGGTGAAAATACTTGGCTTAAGCTGGGCATGGTGGGTTTCACCCATAATCCTAGTACTCTGCGCAGCCAAAGCCAGAGCATCCCTTGAGCTCAGGAGTTTGAGACTAGCCTCAGCAAGAGCAAGACCCTGTCTCTACCAAAAATAGAAAAAAATTAGCCAGGCGTGGTGGCGGGTGGCTGTAGTCCCACCTACTTGGGAGGCGGGAGGGTCGCTTGAACCTAGGTGTTTGAGGTTGCTGTCAGCTAGGCTGAGGCCATGGCACTCTAGCCTGGGTAATAGAGTGAGACTCTGTCTCAAAAAAAAAAAAAGTTCATGACTTAATAAGGACAGAAAAAAATTTTATGCTGAGGGTTCTAAGATCTACAGTACAATAAGCTGTTCTGAGAAGGAGAGAGTGGGACCACATTCAGAGAATGGTTATTAAAGTATATTGCTATATTTCTATCTTATTATTAGTTATTGTTGTTAATCTCTTACTGTGCCTGATTTTAAATTAACTTTATCATTTGTATGTTTATAAAGGAAGAAACATAGTAAAAATGTATACAAAAGGTTCAGCACTATCTGTGGTTTCAGGGATGCACTGGAGATCTTGGAATGGCTCCCCTATGGGTAAAGGGGGACTACTGTACCACTGAACTGTACACCAGAGCATGGTTAAAATGGTAACACTTGTAGCATATATATATTTTTACATGATTTTTTTTTTTTTTGAGTCAGAGTCTCACTGTCACCCTGGGTAGAGTGCTATGGCATCATTATAGCCCACAGCAACCTCAAACTCTCGGGTTCAAGCAATCCTCTTGCCTCAGCCTCCTGAGTAGATGGGACTACATGCACACGCTACAATACCTGGCTAGTTTTTTAATTTTTAGTAGAGACAGGGTCTTAGTCTTACTTAGACAGGTCTGGAACTCTTAAGCTCAAGGGATCCACCTGTCTCACCCTCCCAGAGTACTAAGATTACAGATATGAGACACCCTGTCCAGCCAACACAGATTTTTAAAAAGAAGAAAAAGATTATAAATAGTTCCCCTTTGCCCAGGTCCTAATCCCCTGGCTAGTTGCCAAAGTATCACCTCTTTTTCCCTGTGGGCAGGTTTACTTTGGAGGTCCTCTGCCTTTTCTTCCTGAATACCCTTCAGGGTAAAGGCAGTTTCTGTAGCTTCACACATGGTAAAGATATTCTACTTCTATCTAGAATACCTTCTTTGCCTGCACAAACCTCATCCATCCTTCTCCTCATCCATCCTTCAAGGGAAAGGCCCAGATTCCCTTCCCCACTCATGAACCCTTTGCAGACCAATCTAGACTTGTGCCCTTTTCTAGCTTATCTCTTCTCACTACACAGTTAAAAGTCTGCATTCGGTGGATCACCAGTCACAGAGGACACTGTCTTAGATTTCCACTGGGCTTGTCAGTCACCTGTTTCCACATCACTAAAATCACTGAATGTCTGTTCTAATGACAAACGAGACTATGTGTATGAAAATATAGGTATAAAGACCAAGGGTTTGTTCCTTTTCCACTCTACCTAGTACATGCTAAAAACCATCCATAAACATCTGACAGTTTGGGCTGGATGCAGTGGCTCATGCCTAAAATCCTAGCACTCTGAGAGGCCAAGGCAGATGGATTGCTTGAGGTCACGAGTTCAAGACCAGCTTGAGCAAGAACAAGACTCCATTTCTACTAAAAATAGAAAAACTGAGGCAAGATGATCACTTGAGCCCAAAAGTTAGAGGTTGCTGTGAGCTATGACACCATTGCACTCTACCCAGGGCAATAGTTTGAGACTCTGTCTCAAAAAAAAAAAAAAAAAAATCTGACAGTTTGTCCAGCCTTGCCTGGTTATGAACTGAACAGTGGAAGTCCATTCTCAGTGTGATGAGCAGCAGAGCCCTGCCTGAGCTTACTCCAGGGAACAGTGGTTTCCATGCTCGGCCTGTACAATCAAAGGAGTCGAATTAAATCTGCAAAATCCCTTTCCAGGGAAACTTGGGTTTCTAACAAGCACCCAGTAATCATAGCCAATGTTATTGAGGACTCACTAGACATTACACACTATTATAGTTTTATGTTATCTCATTTAATCCCCAAATACCCTCATAACATAAGGCACTATTTTCCTATTTTACAGACAAGGAAACTGGAATTCAGAGGTTAGAAATTCTATCCTTAAGTACGTTTTATAAAAATTTTTATTTCTCTGTTATCTGTGAAAGATTTCTTTTCTAAGGTTAGGCTCAAGCCTGTAATCCTAGCACTCTGGGAGGCCAAGGTGGTGGAGCTCACAAGTTCCAGACCGGCCTGAGGAAAAGCAAGACCCCATCTCTAAAAATAGCCAGGCCTTTGTGCCCTGGAGCCTGTAGTTCCAGCTACTCAGGAGGCTGAGGCAAGAGAATCACTTGAGGCCAAGAGTTTGAGGTTGCTTCCAGCTAAGATGCCACAGCACTCTATCAAGGGTGACCAGGTGAGACTCTGTCTCAAAATAAAATAAAATAAAATAAAGATTTCTTTTCCATGTTTAATTATAGGGGTTGCTGCCAAACTCTGCCACAGCTATGAATGATTAGAGGGAGGAATGTAAAGCCGTTCCTTTACGTTTATAAAATTATTTTATAAACCAAGGTCACAAAGCTTTAAGCAATAGTGCCAAGAACCCACTCAGGCCCATCAGACTTCAGACTAGAACTCTACTGAAGTCCACACTCTAGGCGTCTCCTGCTTCCTTCCAGGACCTTTTCCTATGTGAGGAAGGCAGAGAGAGGGAGAAGGGTCTTTTTTGGGTGGGGACTTGAGGGCTGAAGGAATTCCAGGAGTGATCTGGGGTAGGGGATGTTGACCTCTTCCACTGGGATTAGGAAAAGTTTCACCTACCTCCTGGAGAAGGCGTGGTCAGAGGACTGGCCATTGCTGTCTGAGCTGGGATACTTGGAGGGAGAGGATGATCCGCAGGAAGAAGGGCAAAGACAGGAAAGAAATGGGTGGGTCCCTGGGGCAGGAGACGCCTGCAAATAACAGTAAAGTCTTTGTTGTCAGGTTTTCCTGAGTCCTTCCCCATTTCCTCTTTTCCTCTTATGGTTTCCCAGAGTATCTTCTCAAGTTCCAGGTACTAATCTCTCTCTCCAAGAGCAGATCTGAGACCACGTGCATTTGCGGTGTGTAGCCTTTGAACGCTCTACCCAGGAGATCTTGTAGGCCCGTGAAAGGCCAAGTTAGGCAAATCAGTAGAGGACCCAGTTTTACCAAAGCGCGACAACAGATACCCTGGGATTCATCCCGCTGGCCAGGTTTTGGTGGAGCCATCCACCAGGTGTCAGGAGAGGGCCAGGGAGGCCCGTCCGGGCGCCGCGTCCGGAGCAGCTCGGAGCCCGGGTGGGGACGACGGGGTAGCCAGGCAAAGAAACTAAAGGGAAGGACCCTCGGTCGCCTTTTGGCCTCTCTTGGGCACCCGGTCCTCCGGGCTGGGCCACTCCTCTCCCGGTCCTGGCTTCGTAGTCTAGCGCGCCGCTTACAGCCTACCGAGCCCCCGTAGCCTGCCCCCTAGGAGGAACCTCCCGTGGCCCAGCCCGTGACTCGGACGCCCGGGCGACCCTCGGGACCTCTGTGGACTTAGCCGGTGGACCGCGTGGGCTGAGTCCTCCCCCACGGCCCCGCCCCAGCCCCCTCCCGCGTTACCGGCTCCGGGACTGGCTCCCCGGCGCGCCGGGCGGCTGGCGGGACGTCCCGAGCGCCGCGTCCGGAGCAGCTCCGAGACACGGCTGCAGCAGAACGCGGAGCTCCAGCCGTTCTGGGTTTCAGTTCCTGCAGTGGCGCGGGTGGCTGCCCTGAGAGTGTGGGCGCCCGGGCTCTCCCGGCGCTCCCGCCCTCCCCAGGTCTCCTCCTCCGCGTGCTCACCTTTCCAGTTGGACCGGCTGCCGGGGAAGGGCCGGCGCCACTCCGCGCGTCCTTTTGAACTCGACCCGGGCGAGAACCGCGGAGATTCACGCAGGCCGAGAGAGGCCGACTCCGAGGGATCGACCAAGGGACCCCGAGCTGGAGGAAGCCGCGAGAGACGCTCAGAGTTAGCTGCAAAGGCCAGCCCGAGCGGAGGTGGGGGCCAGGCCGACTGGGTGGGACGGGAAAATAGAGAAACCGCCCTCTGCAGGTTCCCTCTGCCCCCTGGGCCGCCTCTGCTGCCCCGGGAGGAAAGGCTGCTTCCCTTCTGCAATTGTCACTTAACTCTCCATCCGGAGCCACTTCCTCCCTCGCTCCGAAGCTTGGGAGAGGGTAAGATCCGAAAAGTGGGCTAACTGGGATCTGTCCCAGTTCCCCGAAGTTGACGTTATTTGTATTTTCAACAAATGCAGAAAGTTATATTTGCATTTGTATATCACTTACATAAATAGGTCTGCGTCCCCAAGTTTGGGAGGGTGGTGAGAACCAAAGCCCCACCCGAATCTTGCTCACTGTCGCCTGAGGCTCACTGTCCAGCGGAGCGGTTGCCAGTGTGTGGACTTTGGATCCAAACAGCCCCAGCTCCTCCGCTGCTTGTTAGCTGTGTGAGCAAATTACTAAACATCTTTGAAATTTGTTTCCTCATCCCTAAAATGGGGGACTGAAAGTGATAATGCCTGTAAAGCCACTTCCTAACACAGGGTAAGCACCAAAATTTAAATATTAATCAGTGCCATACTCTAGTTACCTCTTGACTCACTTCTTTGTGAGGAAGTTCCCAGGAAACGTTCCCACATTAATGAGAGCAACTCAATGACTAAGAGGATGTAATAGTTTACAATACAGGCTCTGAAATCAGCTATGCTGTGTGATCTTCGACAAGGCAGTTCTGTTTTGTTCTCTTACCTCATGGCAATACCTGTCTGGTAGAGTTACTGTGGGGATGGAATGAGTTAATACATACTTACTGTACCTGGCACGTAGTAAGTGCTCACCAAATGCTAGGTGTTGTTATCCTGGCTTCCTACTTGGGGTTGGAATTCTTGTGGTCTAATTCTGCCTTCTGTTCAGTGAAACAGACTGCTGAGCTTGCTTCTTACTCTTGTGAGTTCTGTAGGTTTGGGAATCAATATTTATATAGATTGATAGAAAGACAGGTCTCATCAGATTATGCATGATCTGAGGAATAAAAACTAAAGAGAAGGTCTCAGGAGAGAGTAGTATAAAGTGAAAAAAACAAAGTCATAAATAATAGTTGCTTTTATTCTTAAAGTGTTGGTTGGTTAAAACAAAATAACAACAAAAACAAAAACAAACCTAGGGAAGAAAAAGACAGAAAGCTGGTGAAATTGATTTTATTGAAATACATTGGGTGGCGCCTGTGGCTCAGTGGGTAGGGCGCCAGCCCTATATACTGAGGGTGGCGGGTTTGAACCTGGCCCCAGCCAAACTACAACAAAAAAATAGCCAGGTGCCGTGGTGGGCACCTAGTCCCAGCTACTCACAAGGCTGAGGCAGGAGAATTGCCTAAGCCCAGGAGTTGGAGGTTGCTGTGAGCTATGATGCCACAGCACTCTACCAAGGGCGATGGAGTGAGACTCTGTCTAAAAAAAAAGAAATACTTGTGTGAGAAATAGAGGGTGGACATAAGTTTGTGTGCAATTTAAAATAGTTTAACATAGTTAATTGCACATGAACTTAATGTCCACCTTGTATATATGAGTGTGGAAAACTGCCAATCCAATCAAGAAAGACAAAGAAAGTGACATGTAAGCAAGATGTATATATAAGTTAGTAAGGGAAAGGTCAGCCTGGCCGGTCCTCAGATAAGAAAATATCTAAGAGAAAGGAAATTCAAATCTTCAGGGATACATTCCAAAGGAGGGCAATTGCTTGTATTTATTCACTCTAGCTGACCAGCTGACCATGAATTCCAGGAAATGTTGGGTCTTTTTCCCTCATCACATATTCTTTTATGTGTTAAAGATTGTTAGAGCCAAAGACTCAGAGGCCATCTGGTCCAGCTGACTCTCTACTGATTTGCTGTCACTTTCACAATTATATTTGATGGTTGTTAATAGTCTGTCATAAACATCTTTTTTCTTTTTAAAATGTAACCTAGCCAGATGTGGTGGCTCATGCCTGTAACTCTAGCACTTTCGGAGGCTGAGGCAAAGAGGTATACACTGTACATACCTGTAGTCCCTGTTTCTTGGGAGGCTGATGCAGGATTGCTGAGCCCATGTGTTTGAGATTGTAGAAAGCTACAAGGACGCCAATATACTCTAGCCTGGGCAACAGAGATAGACCGTGTCTCAAAAAAAAAAAAAAAAAGTAAACTTAACAGGTTTGTTGATACATGATGTTTGTTGATACATGATGTTTTTCCTACAAGCACATACTTCATTTAAAAAATTGTTTTAAAATTTATTTTTATTTTTTTTAAACAGGGTCTTGCCCTGTCACCCGGGCTGGAGTAGGGTGGCATCATAGCTCATTGCAGCCTTAAACTCCTGGGCTCTAACTCCCACATCAGCCTTCTGAGTAGCCAAGGACTATAGTGGCTTGGCCTCAGACCTCATTTTAAAAGTACAAATTTTTGGCCAGGCGTGGTGGCTCATGCCTATAATCCTAGCACTTTCGGAGGCTGAGGCGGGTAGATTGCCTGAGCTTAGGAGTTTGAGACTAGCCTGAACAAGAGTGAGACCCCGTCTCTAAAAATAGCCAGGTGGGCGGCACCTGTGGCTCAAGGAGTAGGGTGCTGGCCCCATATGCCGAAGGTGGTGGGTTCAAACCCAGCCCGGCCCAAAACCACAAAATAAATAAATAAATAAATAACTATAGCCAGGTGTTGTGGCAGGTACCTGTAGTCCCAGCTACTTGGGAGGCTGAGGCAAGAGAATCACTTGAGCACACGAGTTTGAGGTTGCTATGAGCTATGACGCCATGGCACTCTACTGAGGGTGAAAAAGTGAGACTCTGTCTCAAAAAAAAAAAAAGTATAAACATTCAGCAAACCAGGATCCAACCTACACATGCTCAGCATCCAGTGTGCATAAAATAAAGACTATCATAAGCAGTGTGTGTATTGTCCTCTTTGGTATCCTATTCATCTTGGATGTCATATTTCTAGAGTTCTCTTTTTTACCCAGTCTATTACTATGTACTTTCAAATTGTTGACAGGCAGGGACTGGGTGAAGCTCTTGCCATTAATTCTAGGTAGGGGTACTTACAGATAAATGATGAAGCCTCATGTCCAGTGAAATACCAGTGTTCTCCCAAGGGTTAAATACTAAACCTCAGGAAACTGAAAGCCACCATCCTTCAGGGGCCTCAGGGCAGAAGACAAGAGATATTAATCTTCACCCAATTTTACTGACATTCAGCCCCATCTCCTGCTGCCGCCAGGACAGCAGTCTTCTGAGCCTTTCTCCTATACTTTACTTTTTTTTTTTTTCCTTTGGCCAGGGCTGGGTTTGAACCCGTCACTTCGGTATACGGGGCTGGCACCCTACTCCTTTGAGCCACAGGCACTGTCCTGTACTTTACCATTTTGAAACCAAGGTGAACATTTTCTTTCTCCCAAATGGTACTATCTACCCTTCAGTAGGGTCTTATGCAAATAAAGAGCCAACCTCATAGTTTAGTAAAGTATCCACTGCAGTTGTGCCTCTATTGTAGCAATTGCTGCTGTTTCCCACTAGACTGTAAGTCCTGAGAAGTTTCCTCTGGCACACCCCAAAGATGAGGGTCAAGAAAGCCCCGAAGAAAAAAAGCTTGAATTGGGTTTTGCCAGATGAACATGGGAGGAGCAATCCAAGCAGACCATGAAGGGACTTGTACAGCTGCGGCCTGTACCCTAGTGCTTTCCCTGCAGCACTCCCCTGTGGTGGTTTGGAATGCCTTCTGGGAAAGATACAGGCAGAGGCAGTGAGGCAGCAGGGCTTTTATAATTTGACAAACAACCTTCCTCTCAGGGAGGCAATGCAAACTCCTTCCCATTATTGCTGTACACACCAGAGATCTTCTAAAGGTTATGCTTTTTAAAGAACAGTAACAGGATTAGATTTTAGAAAAAATGACTCCCAAATATAAACATGTATTTCCAGTTCCCTAATGGACACATCTACTGGAAAATCCTACAAGTACCTCAAATTCCTTGTGGCCGATGCTTATAGGTGACTCTTAAGGTTTGTTTAGATGCACATTAAACTGCTCATAAAATATACAAATTGATAAGCTTTGACACGTGTAAATATATCCATAAAATTATTACTATCATCAAAATTAAGAACATTTATTATCCCCCAAAGTTTCCTCATTTTTCTCTTCTAGTTATATGGACACCAACATACCTTCCCCTACCCGTATCCTCCCAGGGTTCCCCCTCCCCCAGAAGGTAATAGTTCCATTCACAGTTCCCCATTTCCCTGCCATAGGGTGGACACATCTTGCAAACTGGGCCAGATTCTTTAGGAAGTTTGGATTTGGGGAAGACTCCTTGGCAGAAGATGGCTGAAGTTGAGTCTTTAATGGCTGCTGCCTTGAGGAACTGTCCACACACTCCTACTGGAGACATCTCTGGGCTGGCTCTTGTCCTTTCCTGTGGCCTGGTTATTCTTTAGTTCTATGAGCTGCCTGATACCCTTCTAACATAGCCTTTACTGGTTAATTCTGTCAGTTTATCCCCTGTAACCAGAGAACCCACATAAATGCTATCTCCTATAGTCACTGTTTTAGGGCATGGCACCACCAACTTCTGGCTTCTCAAGCCTAACCTAGAATAATTTCTTAAAACCTCAGTCTTCAGCGGTGCCTGTGGCTCAAAGCAATGGGATGCTAGCCCCATATACCAGAGGGGGCAGGTTCAAACCCAGCCCTGGCCAAAAACTGCAAACAAACAAATAAACAAACAAACAAAACCCCTCAGTCTTCATCATCGTACATTTTGAATGTGTGAATTCAAAATACTTGCATATTTTGTCCCATCACAAGATCTTGGCCATTCTGCTCCCTGCTCAAAGTTCTTACTTTTTTCTTTCATTGTTTTCCACATACTAGTACTAGCACCCAGTGCTTGGTACAGAGTCGATACTCAGTAAATGCTTGCTGCACACGTGGTAATGTCATCTCTAAAAACAAGAGCAAAGATGAAGGGGATTTGCATGTATACGTGTATTTATCAAGGTGGCAGGACTCCAGAGCTACTTTTAATGTTTTCACAAATGTTTTCATAGATAGTAAATGAATCCAGGACTCCTGACTCCAAATCTCATGCCATTTCCATGATATTATTATACTTTGCATCCTTTCCCTTCATTGGAGTTTCATATCTTTCAACATCCTGCTCAGATCCATATTCGCACCAAATATGAGATTGTAAACATTAGACATAGCTTTAAAATATAACTCGTTTCCAAGGGTATTTGCTTATTAACCAAAGGGAGCAACAACCCTGCAGCAACATACCTTGGGTTGAGGAGAGTATTCTGTGGCCCCTGACATTATAAAGAGTTAGGATGAGATAGGGGTCAGTTAAGAGTTAGGATGAGAGAGGGCTCAGCTATGCAACTAAAGCTTCGTGACTGAGGCAGAATCAATAACCTTGTCCCAGAGGAAAACTGTTCTGAGCTGGAACAATGCCCTGTGTCAAACAAATAATCCATAGAAAATCAAAATCATACTTTATTTAACAATCTGAAAATATATTCTTGTGACTTTAAGTCTTACAAAGTGAGTAAGTCAAGGATTTGTCTATTATTCTGAGTATGTGTGGTTATGTGTCTCTGTGCAGACAAGTGTGTGTCTATAGATACTTCTGCTTTATCGTCATTTTAGCCCCACTTTAATAGAGTCTTATTCTTCTAACAATGCTAAAACCCGAATTAAGTACTCCCTGAGTCTAACATCCTCTTCTCCCAAGACTGCCTGCCTCCCTTCCTCCCATAAGACTGTTCCTCAGCTTCCAATAATGCCAAGTTTTGGAGACCACCAGCATTTCTACTGTCTGAGAATCTAGAAATGAACGCTTGCTCTTATATCCTTCTGACAGATACCCTCTAGTTGAGGGGCTTCTCTGGGGAGGCATGGGAGGGTCTTGGTAGTTTCTCTTCAGAGTTGTGCGTTTTGACTTGTAGATACCTGGAAAGTAAACATGATTTTATCAGATGCTGACCTTCCCTCCCACCAACCACTTCAGGGGAGTAAAATCTCAGCTTGCTTCTACTGAATTATATTCATGTAATGCCATTATTGTTCATTATTCATCCTGTCTAGAGGCTGATTCACAGGAGACATTTCTTTTTCACCTTAGTAGCAGGAGTTGTTCTCTTAAGGCGTGGGCATTAAGAACAAGTGAACTGATGAGGTTATTTTCTTCTGGCATGTTAGAAAGTCTGGAACCAATTTTACGGTCCACCCTTAGCAACTTTATTTCACAGAATGTATTTTTTATACTTGCCTAATTCATGGCTCTACTTTATATCACTTTATATCTCATATACTTCTGAGTTATTTTTCTATATTATGTGTGTATGTGAAAGTACTTTGTATATACTTATGTATGTACATATGTACTTTGTATGTACTTATGTATGTAATGTATGACACAGTCATGCATTGCATAATGTTTCTGTCAACTATGGACTCTATAGATGACAGTTGTCCCATTAAGATTATAATTGAGCTGAAAAAAATCCTATCACCCTATGACCTCACAGCTGTTGTAATGTAACAGCACAACACATTATTCACACATTTGTGGTGATGCCACTATCACCAGACCTACCACACTGCCACTTGTATGAAAGTGTAGTGCATGCCTTTATGTATAGTATGTAATGCTTGATAATCAACAACTGTGTTATCAGTACTTTTCCTCCTATTTTAGCGTGATCCTTCTACTTATATATAAAAAAAAAAACTTGGCTGATGTGGTGGCTCACCCCTGTAATCCTAGCACTTTGGAAGGCTGAAGTAGGAGGATCCCTTGAGCTCAGGAGTTTGAGACCAGCCTGAGCAAGAGCAAGACTCCATCTCTCTTTTTTTTGGAGACAGTCTCAAGCTGTTACCCTGGGTAGAGTGCTGTCGTATCACAGCTCACAGCAAACTCAAACTCATGGGCTTAAGTGATTCTCCTGCCTCAGCCTCCCAAGTAGCTGGGACTACAGGTGCTTACCACAATGCCCAGCTATTTTTTTGTTGCCATTGTCATTGTTGTTTTAGCAGGCCCAGGCTGGGTTCAAACCCAGGAGCCTTGGTATATGTGGCCGGCACCCTACCTACTGAGCTATGGGTGCCACCCGAGCTACTGAGCTATGGGTGCCACCCTACCTACTGAGCTATGGGTGCCAATCTCTTCTAAAAATAGAAAAAATTAGCCAGGCATTTAGGCAGGTGCCTGTAGTCATGCCTGGGAGGCTGAGGCAGGAGGATTGCTTGAGCCCCAGGGTTTGAGGTTGCTTTGAACTAGGCTGACACCATGGCACTCTAGACCTGGTGGCAACATACTGAGATTCTGTCTCAAAAAAAAAAAAA